CATAGTGAGGTTGCTAAGGTAGTGTCTTGGCTGTCATGCAGCAAAATATGGCGAAATCACTATGTGTGATAAATAGAAGAATTCAGCTGTTTACTGCCAAGATATTGAATATGCTGAGAGATCTGTATCCATGTTACTAGGAATTTTATAGGAAACTGTACAAAATATATCTCAGCAGATCTCAAAGCTGATTGTTCAAGGTAAAAGAATGTAGGACTGAGGACCTGATTTTTAAATGCCAATATTTACTTGAAAAGATTGCACTCCAATGCTATGGCAAAATTATTATTAATCATTAACAAAATGAAAATTTCCTAGCAAATTCCCTGTAACACAAAAAGGTATGTATTTCATTTGATAACAGCAGCTGCTAAATTCCATAACTTAAAGTTTTCATTTCAGTTTTTCTGGGATAATCAATGATTTTATGTGGTATCTCACTGCCTCCCCCTTCCACATCTAGATGCTAACAAAGCCAGGGGAGCTTCACTACAACTCAGCTGGCACATTTTTCCCAAATCTCTTGGTAGTGCAAAAGAACACAGGAGGCACTGTTACAGCTACCTATTGTCTTGGGAACAAAAAACTGCAGCTAAGAGGAATGAAGAGAGCCCTGACTCTTCCTTTTGTGCAGTGTCCTTAAAGTACTAGTGCAATGAAGTTTGAAGAAAATCTATTAAAAAAAAAAAGCTGACATGAAAATGAAAGGCAGTCGCTACTGCAAATTAAAGCATGGGCCAGTCTTAGCAGATCCTAAAATGGGCTGATGTTAACTTCAGTTTAGTCTGTGCGCCAGATTACATTCAGGTATTGTAGCATTCCTTGCATTTCTGAGTAGATGTTAGTACATATTGCTTCTCATTTAGAAGTGAGAAGCAAAAAAAGTAATAGCACTAAGCTGAAGTAGACTTCTTTTCTGGATGTGTTTGTCACTGCTCACAACTGCTTCTTTATACTGTACGTTATTTTGTTTACCCAGTTTGATTATGTTTTCCTCTCTTTTCTGCCAAATTCATCAGCTTATATTTTTCAGCTATGACATAGAAAAACCTTTACATTAATTGCAAAGCAAGAGAGGTATTGAAGAAAGTTGCAACACTGGTGACTTTAAAGTGGTTTTTTTTCATATGTTTATGCAAATATCTGTGGTGGCCTGAATACTGGAAACTCAGATTGGCATTTTCAAGTAAATGTATGTAGCTCACCTGCATGGTAAAGGCAGTCAGGTAAATTACAGTAAGGAGGAGTATTGACTTGAAGCTTGTTTTTGTTAAATTAGACAGCTTTCTGTCCATAGATGATAGCCGTATACATTAATGGCTGTGCAGACACCTCTTCTGTGTGCCTTCAGCAACAAAATTCCATTTAATAGAAATCCTAACTTGCCTAGGCATGAAAATGCGCAGTGAAGGCACAAAAACATCAGCTTTCATCTGCTGTGTAATAAAAACTGTGAAATAATCATTATAATTGCACCGTTCTGATATTTGTGGGCCTAGACTAAACTAATTTCAAAGGCATGGTTTTCATAACACGTTTTCCCGTCTCCCACAGTATTTCTAAATACAAAAAAAGGTGGACTGTTAATATCAGGATTAAGCTGGGGGTGGGTTTTTTTGCCTCTTCCAACTGCAGCCACACAGGTCTTTCTAGCCTTGTTTTGTAAAGTACATCTTATGAGGGACACCTGAGCTCAGCATACTCCACTTCAGAGCACTCTCCCTCAGGGCAGTAGAACATCTCTGCAGCTGTTACATGGCTTCTACAGAGAATACTATCAGATAAAACAGAAGGTTGCACAGCCTGCAGTTAGTAGGAAGCATTTGTGACTTTCCCCAGCTATGCTACTCAGTACAAAGAAATGTTTGCAGCAGTTTTAATTCTGTTAGGGACTGTTGTATTTTAATACTATTTTTAAATAAATGCGTGGATGATAAATGTTACCAAGTATTAATAATAAACAGGATGGACTTATTTATGGTACACTAATGATAATGACTATTTCTGGAAGATGATCACAGAATCACAGAATGTTTGAGGCTGGAAGTGACCTCTGGAGGTCATCTTGTTCAAGCCCTCTGCTCAAGCACAGTCACCTAAAGCAGGTTGCCCAGACGGCTTTTGAATGTCTCCGAGGATGGAGATTCCACAACCTCTCTGGGCAAACTGTTCCCATGCTCTGTCACCCTCACAGTGCATAATTTAATCAAAAATGTTTTGCATTTTTAGTAAAGGTAAAATTGTCCATGCATATGAATATTTATTTGATCAGAAGATGTCATTAATGGCCTGGCTGAACAGAGAGCTTTGGCTGGAACTCAGGAAAAAAAGGAGAGTTTATGACCATTGGAAGATGGGGCAGGCAACTCAGGCGGACTACAAGGATGTCCTGAGGTTATGCAGGGAGAAAATTAGAAGGGCCAAAGCCCAACTAGAACTTAATATGGCTAATGCCGCAAAAGAAAATTAAAAAAGTTTCTATTAAT